GATTTTGTAGGACTGGTAGGATGGCTGGAAACTCCCACCGTTTTCTCCCTTTCTGTGCCTTCTTAAGTAATGGTGGTGATGAAGATAATTTGCATGTGTGTAGAATTTGTAGTTTGCAAAATACTTAGTATACGTTAGTTTATTTCTTGAAGACAGAGACAGTTTTATTTTTTTTTTGTACTCCCAGTTAAGTACTTTAAAAATGCTTGTTGATTAATTGAGCCTAACGAACCAGTATAGTTGAGTGCAACGGGGTTATTCCCATTTCAGAGATGAAGAAACTGAGGCTGAGAAAAGTTAAGTGACTCATCTAGGGTCACCCAATTAGTAAATATCTGTGAAAAGATTCAGACCCAAGGCTTTCTGAGTTCAGTTTGAGCACACTATGTCCTGGGTCAGACCACACAGCCTAGAACAGGGGTGGGGAACCTGCAGTCTCGAGGCCACATATGGCCTTCTAGGTCCTCAAGTGTGGCTCTTGGACTGAATCCAAACTTCACAGAACAAATCCCCTTAATAAAAGGAGGACCACATGTGGCCTCGAGGTTGCAGACTTTCCACCCCTGGTCTAGAAGGAGTAGGGGTCAAGAGAGCCTTGGCTTGATTTACCTGAGATGGGTAGAGGGTGTGGGGTTCCTCTGGGTAAGTAAATAATTAGGTACTAATGTGAGGTTGACTATAAAGTCAAAAGTAACATTTGTTAACTAGATTAAAAACAATCTAATTGTGAAGTCCCCACTGACAGTCTTGGTTTATTTAATATAGTGAAGAATGATCATAAAAAATTATATCTTTGGAGCATTTGAAGGTTTTACAAGGTCCTTGTCTTATAACCCTGTGATCTAAGTAGTGCAGGAAATATCCCCATTTTATAGATGAAGCAACTGAGACAGGGGTTAAATGACTTATCCTAGGTCATACAACTCTTTAGAGGCAGCTGTGTAGCACAGTGGGGAGAATGCTGATTTTGGAGACAGGAAGACCCGAGTTCAATTTCTGTCTTAGCTGTGTGTGCCTCATTCAGCCTCAGTCCTCTACCTTTGGGGTTAACATCGGTTGTAAAGATTAACTGAGATGATATATAATCTTTCTCTGTGTAATATATGTTATATATTACATGGGGGACATGGTATAAGACAAAACTAGACTCTGTGGAGTAGGCTGGGGATGCTGTAGGAATGCAGAAGTCAGAATCCCTGTTTGGGAGGAAATTCTAGAAGGCTGCATGGAGTAGGCAGGGTTTGAGTTGGCCCTTGAAAGTGGTCTTGGATATGAACTGCTGGAGGGCAGTGAGCCAGTGAAATTGGGCAGCTGGGCCAGGCCCCTTCTGCCCAGAGGAGAAGGGAACTTGCAGATAGAAACAGCTATTATGATTGCTAGATATCAGCCCTGGTGGCACAGTCAAAAGGACCATGGATCTAGAGTGAGGGAGTCTGTCAGGGAGCATTTATTAAGCACCCACTGTGTGCCAGGCACTGCGCTAAGTGCTGGGGATACAAAGAAAGGCAAAAGCTGGTTCTAGCCCTCAAGGACCTTGCAATCTGCTGGGGAAGACAACATGTTAAGGAAGCTGGAAAGGTACATGTGGGTGAGTAGGTGGTGGGACCATGTGGGGAATGGGGGTGGGGTGGGGGAGATGATGGAGAAGCCCAGAGGTGTGCAGCTGAGTGTGAAATGAAGAGATGGCTGACCCTCCTTAAATGAAGGCCCTCTCTGGGCCTCAGTTTCCTCATGTGTAAAGTGCAAAGGTGGATTAGATGGTCTTCAATGTCTCTTTCTGCCATGGATCAATATAGGTGCTTAATAAATGCTTATGGAAGGATTGAGTCTTAGCAGGACCTGATGTTAGCCTTATTTGACTTCTTTGAGATGGGTGACTGTCTTTGTCTACCTCACTATAAAACTCCTTGGCCCTTATGCTTAAGCTCTTTAGTGTCTAGCTGTCCTTGTGGAAGATGTTAGTGAACAGCCTTGTTTCCTTGAGTCAAAGATGGAACCCACTGGATGGCAGGGATGTAGACAAAGATAGACCTTTTTTTTTTTAAGTTCCTCTCTATGTTCTTGTGGTTTATATATTATTCAAGTAAACTTGTCATTAAATCAGCTAGGTACAAAGCTTCATGTTGATGAAACTCTGCCCTTGACGAGCCCACCGTGGGCAATCAGTGGCACAAGGATGGGAATGGGGATGGCAGGACAGCAGGAATCTTATGTTGCTGGAAAACCTCCAATCTTTCCCAATCTCTAACCCTGCTATTGAACTTAGATTTTTGTTTTTGGAAAGGTGAATTGCTTTTTATGACAAGAAGAAAAGCATGGTTGCTGTTGTCACAAGGCAATATCTCTGTCCTTTGGAATGAGACATTGAATGTCATTATAAAGCCATCTAATTAAAACACAAGAAAAAGTGTCCTCATCCTGAGAAGGCTGACTACTTTCTGTTGGCCAAGGATGCATATTTTTGGTTACAGCAGCTCATGAAGCTGTCGGCTGTGGTTCAGAATGGTTCTCACTGTATTGGGGATCCAAGGAAACCATGGATCTTTTCTTTCTTGCTTCCTAATTAGATTCTCTTCCATCCATTCTGTAGAAAATCTGGCTAATTCTGTGTTAGGAGGAGAAGAATCCTTAATTTATCACTATTAGTGCAGTTGTTTGGAAAGCTGATACTCTAATCTTGTTGGGATATTTATAAGCAGTGTCTGCAAGGGTTGTTAATTCGCCATTTTACATTTGACTTGCTCTGGACCTCCCCCCCTCCCCCAATCACTGGCACGTGGGCTCTTTCTTTCTGGTGGTCTCTCTTCAGATGACTCCCTTTTGTCCTGTCTGCTTCTGCTACTGTGCCTGCAATCGGGAAGATGTCATGTGTAAAGAAAAGAAGATGTAAGGTGGGGGCAGTCCACTCCTAGGTACCAACTTGCCTTGCCTATGTCTTGGGGCTGGTTGGAGAATTGAACAACAGGGCTGCCCTCCCCTACCAGACTCCCTGACATAGTATTCATGCTCCAGAGTGGTAGGAAAAGCAGTCTTGAAAGGAACAGTGATTGTCCCTTTAGTGTATTCACAGAGTTCTGACTCAGCAGTCATTAGAAGACCTTTCATCCTCAAATAGGGCAGCCCTCAGAGTGATCATGTTTTGGAGAAAATGATCTTTGGGGAGGGGGAGGTGGGAGGACCCTTCCATCACACAGCATTGAAAGCCACCTGTCCTCAGCTAGTATGTACTTGATAGGAATGCAAGTGAACCTGGCCCCTGGGGGAGGAAGGCCAGAGGGGGACGCTGTATTTATAGATTTGCATGTCCTTTCTCTGGATAGAATATAAACCTCTTGAGGTCAGGAACAGTTTTATTTTTTTATCTAGGTGTCCCCATGGAATAGCGCAGTGCCTGGCACGTAGCAGACACTTGATAAATACTTGTTAATTGACTGATTAAAGTGCATTAAAAGGTTGTTCTCAAGTAAGTTAAACAATCTTCTTGTAATCTTATACTATTGATTTGCTTAGCTTTAAAAAATTTTCATTTTATTTCCAGGTCTGATATTTTTCCTTGCCCCCCTCCTTCCCTCTCCCTTCTTCCACCCCATTGAGAAAGCAGGAAAGACAAAGCCTGTGACAAACATGTATGGTCAAGCAAAAAAAAAAGCCAGTACCTGGCACATGACCCATTTGAGGTTTTCTTTGAAAAGATGCTGGAGTGGTTTGCCATTTCTTTTTCCAGCTCATTTTACAGATGAGGAAACTGAGGCAAACATGGTTAAGTGATTTGCTCAAGGTCACCCAAATAGTAGCTCTCTAAGGCTGGATTAGAACTCAAGAAGATGAGTCTTCCTGACTCTAGACCCAGCACTCTGTCCACTGTGCCACCTAGCTGCCCTTAAGCTTGCTTCTGGAATAAAATTGGGTTGGTATGGAGTTTTCTTAAGCTTCAGCTTGTATATTCCCTTCTTTTCCAGTTGAGTTGTATCCTGGGTTCTTCTTGGGCCATGAATGTGGGAGGAAGTTGCAGCAGGAAATTGTTGGCTTCTTGTCTGCACCACAGGGAAAATGACAAGGGGAGAAAGAGAGAGAGAGAGAGAGAGAGAGAGAGAGAGAGAGAGAGAGAGAGAG